GAGAGAGAGAGAGAGAGAGAGAGAGAGAGAGAGAGAGAGAGCGCGCGCGCGCGCGAACGAAAGAGGGAGCGCGATTAAGAGTAGGGTAAACGAGATGCTGAGAGAGGGGGCAGAGTGAGGGCCCCATGTCGACCGTGAACCTTGAGAGATGTGACATGAATTTTCCTTTACCTTCCATTACATCGCGGGGGTACGATGCAATACACAGCACATCACACACTGCTCTGTTTTTCTCTCGACATTTCGCGCTGGATTCCCCTCACCACTCGCTGGAGGCGTTTTCATCTGCTGATAAGAAACTCTGTAGTGCCGGCTTCCTTCTATTGCCGGACCCCAGCAAAGGTTGCATAAACTACGATCACCCCGCCAAGGTGCACGCTAACACACACTCGGCACCTACGGGCATTCGGTCCTCCTTCAAACTAGACTGCTCCCCCTTCTTCTCATCTTGTTACCAGAATGAGATTATTGATCTATTAACGAAGCGAATAGATGCAGTCTGTGCAGACACTCGCTATCTTTCGCTGACTATCTGGCTCTTGCAGTGTCTGTGCGCGTCTGGTATGCGTGCGTATATTTTCACAGATCGCGGCGCTGTGCGGCTGTTTATTTGATGTGGGGCGTTAAACGGCCGCACCGACGGCCTGATCTCTAAACACTCGCTCGTAACCTGAGTAGGCGTCTCTGTTGCTGTTACTGCTGCTGCTACTGCTGCTGCTGATGATGCTGCTGCTGCTGCTGATGATGATGATGATGATGATGCTGCTGCTGTTACTGCTGTTACTGCTGCTGATGCCGCTGCTGCTGCTGCTGCTGTTGCTGCTGCCGCTGCTGCTGTTACTGATGCTGCTGCTGTTGCTGCTACCACTAATGCTGCTGCCCCATAGATCAGTCAGTCAGTCTGTCCAGAGAGTCAGCAGCGGTCTACTGCCCCAGCTATGAGAGCTGGGAAGCTGTCGTGGCTACGGTCGCCACACAGCTGCGATGCGATGCTGTTTGTTATTCCTGCTAGATTAATACTATGCGCACTGGCGTAGGGAGCGGGGAGGCGGGGAGGCGGGGAGGCGGGGGAGATGCGTCAAGGGCCTGTCTTGTTCTTTGCTCTCGTCTCTGCTTCCACGGCAACTAACGCGTGTATTGATGGATGAATAACGGCTGGAATGCAGCATGCAATGTTCAAGTCATGAGATACAACGACCCCGTGGGAATTTCTCCCGGGTTGGTGTCGGAGATGGAAGAGAATGAGAGCAGAGGGAGGTGATGAAAAAAGAAAGCGATAGTACAGGGTAGAAATTGGAATAAATGAGAGCAAGGAAGGAAAGCGATGGAGTGTGCGAGATGGAACAAAATGGGGGCAGGGGGAGCGATGAAAAAAGAAAGACGGTACAGGGTAGAAATTGAAATAGGTGAGAGCAAGGGAGGAAAAAAGGCGATGACAAAATATGAAGGATTTGAAATGGGTGAGGGGGAAACGAACATGGTGTGGCGTCAGTTGGAAAAGTAAGTAAATTAATAAACTGGTACGCCCCACCCCACCCCAATACTGAGAGGTGAATGTGTGTGTGTGTGTGTACTTACACATGACATTGACGGTGATGATGTGTGTTTTCAGGTCCATGATCTTGCCCTCGTTGACGCGGCCTCGACACGTGTACGTACCGCTATCCACGCGCGTGATGCCGCTGATCAGTAGACCGTCATCCATCTGCTCGAACCTGCCATCTGTGAAGCGACAGCAGCAGTGAGTGAGCGCGAACCGCTGAGAGCTGGCGCCCGTCTATGTCTCGGCATCGTACCAGCTTCATCTGCATCTCAGACTGTGTGTGTGTGTGTGTGTGTGTGT